AGATTTCCCTTTGCTCTTTGAAATTTGGCCGCCTCTCCGTCACTGGCCTCCTTCCACTTCTGCATGTGAAATCGCCTTATCATCATCTCATCGTGGTTTTTACTATCAAAACCCATTTATCAAGCATCTGAAGATAACACACTCAGTTGTTGTTTTGTTTTGTTTTTTTCAGATCTGATTAATGAAACAAAATGCATGGTCTTAAAAGCAACTGTTCAATAACAACCAAGATGACATTTAGTAGTTAATTTTAAAGGTAAAAATAGACCATGAAAATGTTTCTTTTACAATTACCCAATTAAATAGTTATTGTCAATGTAGATTGGCTCAGATGTTTCCCTTTGAGAATGTTAATTTCGTTACGGAAATTGATTTTGTGGAGCTCAGAGTTTTGAGCCTCACACTTTTAGTTCTTCCTAAAGCAAATTTTGCCAAGGTTCACTGCAAAAGATTAAATTAAAAATTTGAATGGAAGGTTTTAGAACATATCGGAGCATATAGACCTTGTCGGTGGGATTTGTATTTCAGTTACAGACACAACAACGTACTGCTCGTGTCTGCAGCGAAAATAGAAATCGCAGCCAACTCTACACGTAACGAGAAATAATAAATAGCTGGTGTTGGCTGTCATAGCTCACTCGGCATGAAAAGTAAGCTAACGGGGGATGTGGTAAGAAAAGAAAATTTGCTTTAGCAACTCGTCTCTTAATAATGTGAAGTGTCAACATAAGAATTCTCTAAATGCAGAATGTGATTTTTATCTTGACAGTGTTTCTTTGAGGTCTTCTGGGAACAAATCTTCTTAAAGTCTTGAGCAATCCTGACTTACGCAATCGCATACTTCATTACTCATCTGAGCAGCAGAGCGGCTGCTATGCGGAGAATGAAGCTGTGCTCGGTGGTGTTGGAGGGCTGGAAAGGCAGGTCTGTGGACACTGGCCAGGGGGCCACCCTGGGAGCCTTGCTGGGACCCTGGGCCTTCCCCTAAAGATGCCCTAGAGAGTTTCATCAAGTTTTCCAGGAGGTCCTGTTTTCGAAAATGGTGAAAGCAATTAGAAATAAGCTAAAATCAGAGAAGATGATTTTAATATTCGAAAACACACATAAGAATGCAAAATGAAAACTTCATACTGGGGATTTTCCCCTCTGGTATCAGAACTGTTTTCATTATTGTGAAACATAAAAGCTTATACACTAAAAAAGTGGTGAAGATGGTAAGTTAGATGTATTTTACCAAAATTATTATTATTTTTTTAATTTGGAAGAAACCAGAGCACTCGGGTGGCTCAGTTGGTTGAGTGTGTCTGACTGTTGATTTCGGCTCAGGTCACAATCCCAGGGTCGTGGGTTTGACTCCCACATCGGGCTCTGCACTGAGCATGGAGGCTGCTTGAGATTCTCTCTCTCTCTCTCTCTCTCTCTCTCTCCCTCCCTCCCTCTCTCTCTTTCTCCCTCTGCCCCTCCCCCCATACTATCTCTCTTTTTTAATTAAAAAAAATAAAACATTTAAAAAGAAAATAAAATTTAAAAGAAACCTGGTGGTAGAACCCATTAAGTAGGTTTGTATTAAATAAAGGCTTTTACAAAATAAGATATGAAACATTACTGGTCATTCATCTACTGCCTAGCAATCTATTACTCTCTTAAAAGCAGTAATAATCTACTTGTACCGAAGTCTGACTTTCTACACTATAAACCCTTTGGGAAATGTCCAGAAACTGAAGAAGCAAATGGCCTTTTAGCAGTTGAAACAGCCATCAGAAAGCCCTCGTTCCTCCCTGCAGAGGAAGACTTCTAGGAATAAGTTCCATCAGCTGTTTCTGTACGTACAGGTTTGATAAGCTAAGTAATCTTCCTTACCTAATAGCAGATTAAAAGCAATAAAATGAGTAAGGTATGGTTCATTACTAGAGACTGGGGTCGCAACAGCAGAGTTAAAATACGAGCTGCTCACCCAACAGAAGCAAAACAATTAACTGCAAAAAAAAAAAAAAAAAAAATCCCTCAAAACAACCCAAACAAACAAGGAGAGGAGGAATGGGACTTGTTTAATGCGTAAGAGCTTCAGTTTGGGACGATGACGTTCCCGAGATGGGTGGTGGTGATAGTTGTACGACGTGGAGATAACGCCACTGAACAATACACTTAAAATTGGTTAAAATGATGACTTTTATATTACGGATATTTTATCATAATTACAAAAAAGGTTTAAAAAAAAAAAGAGTTCATCATTGAAACAGAGTCTCCAACTAACAGAGCTGAAATGGTTAATCCTTTCTTTGGAAGTTGCTACAAGTTTGTAGAATGGAACAATCCAACCAACGTCGAACCAGAGATCTCCTTGGCTGACCCAAAGTCCTTGGTTCAGAGGAAAAGGTGGTACTTACACTTTGATATTTGAGATATTAAAGTGCATTCAAGAGCACCTGGGTGGCTCAGTCGGTTAAGCGTCCGACTTCGGGTCAGGTCATGATCTCACAGTTTGTGGGTTCGAGCCCTGCGCTGGGCTCTGTGCTGACAGCTCGGAGCCTGGAGCCTGCTTCGGATTCTGGGTCTCCCTCTCTCTCTGCTCCTCCTCCACTCACACTGTCTCTCTCTCTCTCTCTCCTTCAAAAATAAACATTAAAAAACTAAAAAAAAATAATTCCGTAAAGTGCATTGAATACATTCAAATTGATAGTTAAGACGTTCTTTGTATGTAGTCTCAGGGGAAGAATATGGTTCCTGTTCCTGTGGAATTTATAAACTACTCAAGGAAACAAAATACCTGGGCATAAAACAAATTAAATCAGTGTGCCTCATCTTCCAGTTTTGTAGGCCTTTTAGGACCGGATGCTGCTTTCCAGGCACTAAGGCATAAAGAGGCTGAGCCATAATCATTCAGGTTTCTTGCATTCAAAGCCTGAGGAAGGGGTGGGGGACAGGTAGGTAGTCTGATGGCATCCTCCTCGGGTGCCTCAGTGAGAACCTCTAAAACATCCTGGCCTCACAACCGCGGGGGCCCTGCCTGGGAGTGGATTGCCCCTTGTGCTCGCAGCGGCTGCTTCTCTCTGCTCTGGCTGCTGCTGGAGACATGCCTTTGAGTTCTTGTTCCTCCCTCTAGAACGCCCGCTCCTCCTCCCTCAGATGAAGCATAAGGGAGTTATTTGATTTCAGCTTCCTTCTTTATAAGTACACTATAATCAAGACTTCCTGAGACCCGTGTTTTTAAGCTTTGGAGCCAGATCTACCAAGGTTTGAATCCCAGCTCTTAGATCTTGGGTGAGTCACTGGGACTCTGTGTTTTAGGATCCTCTTCCAGAAAATGGGGTTCATAACATAGTTGTCTAGAGGATTAAATGAGATCATACACAAATTTAGGGCAACAGCTGGTATAGAGTAAGGACGCACACATACACCTATATACGTGGGATGTTAATTATTTACACATTGAAACATTGCCACTGCGGTAGGCCTCGTGCTCAGCTGGACTTGTGTTCTCTCCTCCTCTTCTCAGCTCGATGAATTGTGTGGATGTACTTACTTAGTTGATTATTTAATTAAACATAATTTTTGTTAACTATTCTATTTAGAAGTATTAAGAACTATCAGACAGAAACCACCTAAAACGGTGAAATAGGTGACCGAAATTAAAGAGTACACTTATCATGTTGAGCAGTGAGTGATGTATAGAATTGTGGAACACTATATTGTATACCTGAAACTAATGTAACTCTGTGTGTTAACTACACTGGAATTTAAAAACTTACAAAAAATTTTAAAAAAATGGGGAACTGGGTTGGCTCAGTTGGTTAGGTGTCCAACTTCGGCTCAGGTCATGATCTCATGGTTCACAGGTTCGAGCCCCGTGGCAGACTCTGTGCTGACAGCTCAGAGCCTGGAGCCTGCTTCCGATTCTGTGTCTCCCTCTCTCTCTGTCCCTCCTTCACTCATGAGCAAGCGTGAGCATGCGCGCACTCTCTCTCTAAAATAAAAACTTAAAAAAATTTTTGTTAATTAAAAAAAAATTTTTCTTTTTAAAAATTTTTTTTTTCAACGTTTATTTATTTTTGGGACAGAGAGAAACAGAGCATGAACGGGGGAGGAGCAGAGAGAGAGGGAGACACAGAATCGGAAACAGGCTCCAGGCTCTGAGCCATCAGCCCAGAGCCCGACGCGGGGCTCGAACTCCCGGACCGCGAGATCGTGACCTGAGCTGAAGTCGGACGCCCAACCGACTGCGCCACCCAGGCGCCCCCCAAAAAAATTTTTAAATAAAGGAAAATCAAGTACATAAAAAATAATAAATGAAACAAAAATCACCCAGAATCACTAAATCCAGAAATTACAACTTTTAACATTGCTGCATATTTTTCTGGACTTAAAAAGAAAAAAAAGGGGCGCCTGGGTGGCGCTGTTGGTTGGGCGTCCGACTTCAGCCAGGTCACGATCTCACGGTCCGTGAGTTCGAGCCCCGCGTCGGGCTCTGGGCTGATGGCTCAGAGCCTGGAGCCTGTTTCCGATTCTGTGTCTCCCTCTCTCTCTGCCCCTCCCCCGTTCATGCTCTGTCTCTCTCTGTCCCAAAAATAAATAAACGTTGAAAAAAAAATTTTTTTAAAAGAAAAAAAATACGTATGTACGTATGTTTAAGTTTTTTTGTATTACATGTTATATAACAGATATTCTTGTATATAGCTTTTGAAAATAAATATATACACTTATATTATTTTACAAAATTGGATAGTGTACTCTATTATGTCACTACAAGGCTGTCAGCTCCAGCAGGGGATAAATCATGTGGTTTTGCTCTCCATGGTATCCCCAGTGCCTGCTTTTAGCCCATGACTCATAGCAGTACTCAAAAAATAAAAAAACAAAAAACCCAAAGGAATGAATGACTCCACATCAATAAACACATACCCAGAAAAACAATAAACATGACCATTAATCACAATATCCTCCTGCATAGGTGTGTCAGTTTCCCTAAGCAAGCTTCCATTTAGAAACTTACTTGTTTCCACTTTGCTTCCCATATATATTTGAAAATTTTCATAAGATTTTTTTCAAAGAAAGGCACAAAGATAACACAGCACGCATGATTGAACCTACTTGCCCGGAATCAACAAATTTTAAGGTTTTGACAGTTCTGCATCGCTTTTTTAAATACAAGAAGTAACACACTGGAGGTAAAGTTCAAGTCCTCATTCTTCCCTCCTCAGTCTGGTTTCCCTCCTTCCACGTAGGCAACAGCTGTCCTGAATTGGGTGCATCTTCTTGCAGTCTCCATGTCTATACTCATAAAAGTACGGGATTAGTCTAGGTTCTGTGGTATTTATTTATGAATACGATATCATAGTATATATATAGTTCTGCAACTTACTTTTTTCCACTCTCCAATTGAATTCTCTCATTCATCCTTTGAAAAGTATACAGCTAGTTCATTCACTTAGCTCTATTGTCCTGTGAATATCTACCTTTTATTTTCCCACTATTCCCTATTGCTGGATATTTTACGTTCTTCTGGATTTTTCACTATTGCAAACAATGCTGTAACTAATTACAAAACTTTGTAAGGGTTTTTACACATAATTTTAAGGCCCACTAAATTCCTTTTATTTACAATATTTCTTTGACCAAAAAAACATTTTTTTTTTCAATTATGTTGACATCTTTGGAGACAGCAAGGGCGGGACCTTAAAACACACGCAAAGAAGAATGTCAACCAGCCCAGCCCGCTGGGGGCCAGGGAGGAAAGAGTAAGGTCGCTGTGGGAGTGAGGAGGTAGACAGGTGAGGGCAAGAGGGATGTAATTGCGGATTATCCGCGGGGGACTTAACCGCGCAAGATGCCTGGATAGAGTGCGGGATAAGACTGAAAAATAAGATTGAATTCTAAGTTGCACAAGAATGATTTCATTACCAGAGCTCAAAGCGGACAGAAAACAGGCGGGCTGTGTGGGAAGGTCCCCTGGAAGAGCTAAGGCAGAGGCAGGGCTGGAAGCCTAGGTGGCAGGGAGAGAGGCGAGAGCACAGCATGACAGACCGGGGACTGGTAAGGTCGTGAAAAACGTCCGGGACACGATGAGCTTCGTTACCGTTTCTTTTCAAATTAAAATTTTAAAACTTCACAAGAGTTTGTTAATGAAAAAGGAAACTGGAGTTGCTTTTACAACGATACTAGTCCCTACCATCACCTGCCGCAGTCTGTGCGTGGCAGGAAGCACGAGCTCACATCTCCGCACAATCCCTGCATATGCCCTGTACCGCATCCAGAGCTCACAAATGGAAAGACAGTCGAGGGGCTGGATTGCAAAAGTCACTTGCTGGTCTACGAGACCATCCACATAGTCTTGAAACACGCGCATCGTGAGACACTTCCCGCAGACAAAATAGCCACGGCAGTGGGGCTGGACTGAATTCACACTGATCACATTTGGATACACATCCGGACGTCCTTCTTTAGTACTTGATGCCACGGACAAACGGCCGTCTGTCCTCTTCTGCCCTTACTCTCAGCAGCTGGCGTCTGTTTGGTAACTCGGTGGCTCCTTCAGGCCTGTTAACTTACTTTCTCCACCAAGGCTGGTCTGAGATGCCTAACGGCGGCTTTAAGGACGGAGTTACCAACTTTCATACCAGCGCAGTCGAAGGGGCAGTACTGGAGCCGGGGGCGGGTGACAGAGTGGCAGAAAGGTCCGCGAGCGCCGGCG